CGTCCCCTCGGCCCACTGCGGCGAGCACCACTGCCGATTCGAGCAGCAGCCGCCGTGCGGCAACGCGAGGGCGGCGGGCGCCGGCGAGGGGACGTGCTTGGCGCATACCTGCGAGGAGAGGGGCTGCGGGAGGATCAAGACGAGGTATATGCCGGATGCGGGCGGCGTGGCGGGACGGTATTGTAAGAGGCACGAGTGTGATCGGGAGGGGTGCTGGGAGAGGAAGTGGGAGGGGAGTAGTTTTTGCGTGAGGCATAAGTGTGCGAGGAGGGATTGTGAGAGGGATGGGGCGTTTGGGGATTACTGTGATCGGCATAGGATTTGTGGCACGCCTGGGTGTGGGAGGTTTCGACATGTGGATGGGGAGAACGTGAGGGACATGTGCGAGGAGCGTGAGTTCTGCCCCCTCTTCTCTTCTTCTCCTCTTGCCGTTTCTCGATACTCGGCCCCTGAACCCCTGACCTCGACTCTGGTTATTCTTCGAGTCCCCCCCAGAGCAAGTAAGCTGACTTCATCATTCCAGACCTGGCAACCCGCTGCCGCAGAGCAGGTTGCGACGCCCGCGTCGTCGAAGGGGGTACCCTCTGCCTAGACCACACCTGCCGAGACCGCAGCTGCCAAAACGAGCGGTCCGCCCTGGGCCGCTACTGTACCGACCACAAGTGCTCCGTCCAGGGCTGCCAGCAGCTCCGCGAGACGGTCGTCCTGTCGCAGACGATGATGATGCTGGGCGTGCTGAGCCTCAACCTGCCGCTATCGCCGTACTGCCGGGCTCACGTGTGCGGTCAGGAGGGCTGCGCGGAGCCGGCGGCGGGCGGCGTGAATGGGGGTGGTTCGCGGTATTGTCTTGCGCACGCGAGGTGTCGGAGGCCGGGGTGTGGGAATGGGGTCGAGGTGAGGGGACGGGATGGTAGTTTGTGTGAGGAGCATAATCGGCTTGGGGGCGGGTGGATGGGGAGGAGGGGGATGTTGGATCCTGATGCGTATGGATGGGGTGGTGGTGGTGGTGGAGGAGGAGGAGGAGGCGGTGGTGGTGGGCAGCATTGGCCTGGATTTGGACCTTGGGGGGTGAATGCCACTATTTAGAAGATTTTGAAGCACTGGAGGCTATTTGGCATAAGTTTGGTTGTGGTTTCTTGCAATAAAAGTTTTGACTATTGGCAATATGAGATCCATGAACTGGTTCTGATCATGAGCTTACAGCCTCCGGACCCTGCGAGTAAGATGGTTCTCATGAAGAGACGAATTGCTGTCTGGTTGTTTGGTTTTGGCATTGTTAGAATATTATCCGTTTCGGAGTATCTAACCTCAAGGATGAATTTGTTCTTGGACTCTTCCGTTTGCCTCGCTCCTTTCCCTGAGGCAGTTGTCCGGGCAGCCATGGGCCAAGGGTATATTCCCCTTCCTCAGTCCCAACTCTGTCACAAGCACAGCAGCGCCCATCTAGGTCGGCGAGGTCAGGTCAAGCTGTGTACCAGGTGGTCAAGCGGTCTAATAAATTGAATACTACAATGAAGTCAGAGTCCGGGTTGACTGAGGGGCGACCTGTTTGAGTCCGGGCAGGGGCGTGAATTATAAGGTCAGTATTCCCCTCCTATGCGTTCGTTTCTTTTTTAATCCTCGTTTCTCTATTCTAGTAGTATAGTATAACTCAAAACGAATTCACGATTGCAAAAGACTAAGGGCAGAGAGAAGCGACCTCTGTCGTCGCATGTTTGATAAAATATCTAGGATATCAGGCACAAAGAGTGAAAATACTCAGTGAAATAGGACGGCACTACGCAAAGCAACACACGACCATTTCACGTACATCAGTCATGAGGCTGTTGAAAGATTCTTGTCTTACGTATTCGTTATCTCTTGCGAAGTTATATGGCAGCAGTCTAGATCCCGAACTCCTTGATATCCTTGACCAAATCAGTGATGCTCTCCTCCAGGCTCTTCCACTTGATCCCCAGAATCTTCTCCGTCGCGCTGTTGTCGTACCCGTACACCTTATCCTTGGGCGGCAGCTCCCCGCCCTTGGTGCCTTCCGCAGGCAACCTTTCCTTCAGCTCGGGGAAGTTCTTCCTCACCACCTGCGCAATCTCGGCGTTGCTGAACCATCCGGCCGTCGTGAAGAGCCTCTTGCCGCCGGCCTCTGGCTTCTCCAGCGCCAAAATGTGCGAGAGCGCCAGGTCTCGCACGTCGATCCAGAGGTACGCCGCGCCCGTCGGCGCCACGGCGTCCTTCCACTTGCCCTTGACTAGGTCTACGACGCGCTCGTTGGAGGTGTTGATGCTGGCGAGGTCCGCAAAGTGGTGCACCACGGGGCCCAGCACGAGGGGGGGAGTGAGCGTGACGAGGTCGAAGCCGGGCTTCTCGTCCTGTACGAAATCCCACGCGGCCTTTTCGGCGAGCTTCTTGGAGGCACGGTACGCCGTCGCGGGACTGCGCCCGATATCTTCGACGGTGACGGGGTTCCAGAACTCCTCGGTGAAGATGGTGTTGGGGTCCTCCGTCTTGGCCTCGTCAATGACGGACGCGAAGCTCGAGGTGACAACCACCCTCTTGACGCCCGGCGCCTCCCGCTTGAGGGCCTTGAGGATGGCCGTGGTGCCGACGACGGCCGGGTCGATGAGTTCCTTTTGGGCGTCGGTCCACTTGAAGTGGAAGGGGCTGGCGGTGTGCAGGACGGCCTCGAGGCCGGGGGTCTTGACGACCTCGTCAAAGGCGTCGGGGCGCGCAATATCCGGGACGATGGCGACGTGGAGGCGGGAGGCGCCGAGGTCCTTGTGGGCGTCGCGGATGCGCTGGGCCTTGTCCTCTGAGCGGACGGTCGTCACGACGGAGTGGCCGCGCGCGAGGAGCTGTTCGAGGATGTGGGCGGCGATGAAGCCGGAGCCACCTGGTGATGTGTTAGTGTATTGTGTTCTGGAGTCGCATTGAGAGCTTCTCGCCCGCAGGAGAGAAGCGGTTTGCTGTGGAGGGTGCTGGGAGTGCGGCCGTGATCTCACTCGTCATTTACCTGTAAGGAGAATCTTGGTCATTTTGTCGTTTGTATATCTCAATGGCTCTCAATGGCTGTTCTTGAATGTTTCTAATTAGTATGGATGAGTCAATGTTGCGGCTTCAATGATTCTTCGTATCAAACGTATTGAATTTCTAACTTTACTCAGACACATTGAACCCTTTTATCCTTCCCTCAGGTACAGCTCGACCCCTCCATCACCCAAGACGCCGTCACTTTACCCCTCCATTGCATGATGATTAACAACCCCCAACCAATGCCCCGCTCTCTCGACCCCCGCGCACCCACCACACTTGTACTGCATAATTCCATTCAGGTCCCAACGCGGGTTGCGTGGGGCACCAAAAGCGTCGCGTCATCCCAGTCTTCCAGGGCGCCATCGATTCGCTCATCTCCTCGCAGGTGGTCCGGCCCCGATTACTTCGGCTAGCGATGTAAGCACCAACATCGCCATCCATGATGTGCGAGACTTCAATGTTGTGCGGGGGGGCGCGGGCAGGCATCTTAACCCGGAGGACAAGAGGCTGCGGGATGCGGCTGAATCCCTGGGTTTCGGCATAGATGATAGCTATACCTCCTCGAGGGACCGTGAGGCGGAAGGGTTGATAGGAGGGCCCTTGGTTGGCCTACGCCTCTCGGGCGAACATGGCAAGGATCCAGGGGATGGGGCTGGCCATGCTGACGAGTACTGGGGGTTTTGACTTCTTCTTTTGTATCGGGTTGGTCTAAATAGGTCTGTTTTGACGGAAAGGAAGTTGGTAAGTACCTATCCTCACTCAGGGAACCGATATCTACAGCCTAGACTTACCGAGAAGAGGTTGGAGATTGATCGAGGCGCAGCAGACCTTTACCTAGAGTGAAAGTGAAATTTAAGGTTGAAATCGATGTGACTTAAATCATCTGCTGTAGAGAACGGAGGTGCGATTTCGAAAGGCCTGAGGTAGGGCAGGCACGGTAGACGGGGGCTAACGCGGCAGGAGCTCAACAGACGGGAGACCCACCTTACCGGCAGCCGGCGCTCCGATACTTTGCATTGGGTATCTCAAGAATCTTGCCCTGCCTGATGGCACTTAGGTACCTTAGGCAATATCATGATGGCATGCGACTGTGGAAGGCAGGCATCACATAAGCGTGGGCACCAGGAGTGACGATGGCATACAGTCAAAATAGCTGGGTCCTTTGCTCCCCTGGCCTACTTCTCAACAGCCCAATTCGACACTCATTCTCATTTCCGAACTTTTCCACCATCATCATAATATTTGGACAAGACTTTAAACTGTCCCAGACAGGCGGCCTGTCTGCGACTGAAATTTCATTTCTCGAGACTCATTCTACCAGACCCCACCGACATGGATAGCACCTAGTCAAGCAGCCTGCAAAGCTCCTTCCTACTGTCAACCAAACTCGCGATCACAGCTCAGGTAAGATGCTTTCTCTGTTCTGTAGATACCTCGCCATCTATTCCATCTTACTCGCCAGCCACTCTCTCCTTCCCTTATGTATCTCCTTCCTACTCAGGCCATTCTTGACTCTACTCCTTCCTCGCTTCACTCTTCCTTCAACCTCTTCCTTCCCCACCCTGTGCCCTTCTTACCTATCTCACTCTTCTACCTCTTCAGGCTTTTCTTCCTTTTCTCTCTCTTCATAATCTCACTACTATCCTTTCTCCCCTCAGGTTCCGTTTCACCTCTTCCGCTCTCCGTTCCTCCGTCAAGGTCCAAAGTATGTCTTATTGAGCATCGGATTTGCTCACTGTCCAGGAAAACTTTTTGATCAAGAGGCTAACTTTCATCAGCATACTTCACTCAGCTTTGACTGGCTTTGAACAGAATCAGCGACTAAGCGCCTCGCGATCCCGTCACTGACGCCCGCCAAAGTGGTAAGTTGACCTCCCCGTCACCGGAGAAATGCTTTTGAAATCTAACAAATGGTCAGTCACAAGACCGAAAAAGCCTCATCTTTACACTGGTCTCATCAATTCACCACAACCATGGCCGAAGATCCCCAAAACGATAAGCCAGTCACCGAGCATGACATCCCGTCTTGGATGAAGATCAGGGAAAGCGATCCCGCCAACGTCACGCCTTCGTCCGCTGCCATTCAGAAAGACCAAGCTTTACCAGATGACACTTCGCTGCGCAAATGTCCTTCAACCATGATCAAATGCGTCCAGGAAACTGCTGCCTCATTTCTTCCCCACGTCGAACGCAGCAATTCCATTCAGGAATTCGCGGCCAAGGCACATCAAGACTCATCGAACCAGAAAGAGCAACTACTGCAAGGTGGCCCTAGATGCCTCAATGAGACCTACTCGAAAAGGATGGAAACGACCATCCTTCACATTGACTACGTCGAGATACTAGTCGACTTCCTCGTTTCTCTACTCGACTTGGAGAAGTGGCACCTCGTCATTGGCGAATTGTGGTTCTGTGCAAAGCCTTCGGGTGATGTCAAGTTTGCCAAAGAGAATCTTACTGGCCTCGGAGGAGACGACAGTGGTGTCTATCACATCCACTCGTCAGACCCGCACACCGAGACGTTGTGGTCGATGGCACTGAATGCTGCTGAGGTCTGGGCACGTACTAACGGTCTGGATAATGCGTCTCATACTTTATACGTGACCCTCAAGCAATGGCCATTGGAATCAGAATACCCATACTATGCGGACCTGAGCCACCTTCAACGCTTGCTTGCCCGTGTGAGGGCCGAATCGATAACAGAGACAATAACAAGAGCATCCTGAAGATTCCGGGGGCGATCTGTGAGATCGGCACGACAGAAGTGGTATTACGCGACACAAGTCTCTTCACCAAGTATCTGGAGGGAAACATCAGACTCTTCGTTCAAAAGGTCGAGTCGCGTTCTAAAGGAAAGAAACTGCCGCTGGCGGGCCACTGGACATAGCGAGATACTGCCTGTAATGCCAATTAATTGAAGAAAGGCATTAATTATCCTTTTCAGAGTTCATTATGCCTGTGCCCCTGCCGTAAAAAGAAACCTGCAGTTGAAAGTGTCAAAAGGAAACTGCTTACGCCAGCCATACGCAGCTTCCGGTTTACTTGGAGTCTTGATTCCAAATCCAGCTCCAACAAGAATAATCACCGCCTCTGCTAGATCGACATATTCCTATAAAATAAGAAGCCTTGCTTGCCCCGTTCAGAAGGCCTTCGACGGGAGGTTGCATAAGCACACATCGCTCAGCTAACGCCCTCCTCGAAAATAAAGGACCGGCACGTTCGCTGCAGCCTGGTGGAGCGGAGCTGAGCCAGCAAACATCATGGAAACCCGTCGGATTCACTGCAGCCTCCCGCCAGGCGGCGCGCCATTTACTTACCACCCCTTGTTTCCGACGGCTCCTCAAATCCGGGCGAAACTTGCTTTGGAGTCAAATGGCTGAAGGAATTGGCGCTTTTCCTCCGAGGCTGCATAAGTTCGAGGGACTTACTAGGTCTGTGGTACTTCATCGCGGAGGGAGGATTTAGGCTCTCTTGACAGACCTTCATGCTGGATTTTGATATTCGACAGAACGCAGGCTACTGTCGTCAGCATGTAGCTTTTGTTCCGATGTGGTACCCTGGCAGTCAGCTTAAGATGTGAGAAGCAGCCAGCGTAATTTTTACGCCAAGTCAGATTGTCGACCCCCTATTCTACTGCGGGATGAGAAAGCAATACGAAAGCATCTGAGAAGACCCCCGACATCTTCTAGGGTGCGCAAAGTGGCACTCACATTTCCTAACGTCTACTACTCTCCATCCAAGCTGAGGATAAGTGTATCATAGGGGTAAAAGTGCCACTCCTTGAAATACCAAGGTATGACCGCCCCGTCGTGCATGTCAGCCACCCCGGATGACTTCAGATATCTCTGAAAATCCATGCAGCCCTCGACAATCAATCTACAGCCACAGGACGCCATGCGAACACCATACCAATGAGGCATCGCCGTTGAATCTTCGCCCCAGTGTTGGGCCTTTCAGCTTCCTAGGCAGACATCACGGAAGTTTTCCCACGCGAGTTGTACGACCCTACCTTGGCCCACCTGTGCCGTGCTTCTGCTGCCGCAGTCTATACCCGATCTACAACCCGCTGGTGATCGTCCATTTGGCTCTTTCTGATCCCTCATTATTCAATCTAACCCGTCAAACTAGGTGGCGGTTGCGTTGAGTGTGAATGCTGGTCATACTTCGTGTAGCGCTCGCAACTCTAGACTTTATAGGCATAATCTCCGTTTCGTCCTGCATGTTCTCTTGGTCTCCTAGTGTAGATGCTGATTAATTTATTTATGCCGAGACAACACCAAGGCAAGGGTCTATATGACGCGAGTGCGACGGCTGCAGGCATGAATTACTATCTCAAGCCGAGAACCAACCGGTTTTGACACGATGCCCAGGCTTCTAGAAGGTGATGAGCTGCTGACCCAGAAAACGCTTCTTTTCCCTCCAGCCTTCCAAGTCAGATGAGAAAAATCGACAGATTATCACTCCTCGACTGCAATTATGGCTTCGTAGTCTTTGCTAAGCCATCCCACTCGCGACGGGACGTCATGGGCAACAAGCTTGTGCGACAGTCTATTACCGATAAACTCTCCTTCAAGCACCCGACACACCCGAACGGATCAAGAGTCATAAGTAGTTCATCAAAGTGGCATGCAAAGAATAAGGTCATGACCAAGCTGAACCACGAGTACAACCGCGCTAACCGACCCTGGAAGGCATCTCGCGGAAGTCTGACAACGAATCCGTGGGAGCTCGCGTACGATGAAAAATCATTGGTTTCCGAACCCGTGATACCTTGGTCTGTGTTCTTCAGCGAACGCCGCCAGATGGTGCCCGGCCCGGTTCGTAGTACCCCTCACCATTCACTCGTCCCGGGCAAAAACACCTTTACTAGGAAAGATGGCTACACCCATCCCGTATAAGGTTAGTACTTTAGTCGGCTAGCTTGAACGGGCCGTCTTCGAACAAGACTGCCGATCAAGAGAGGAGACGAAAAGGGGGCAGGGGCGAGAAGATCTGGGTGCCGTACTGCTAGTGTATCCTCCGTATGGATGAGGTCGCGAAATGCTGTCCTCGCCGCGGTGCTTCCTGTTGGGTTTCGTGCGAAGTAGGGCCGTTCGTGACACGGAAGCCCCATAGATGCAGGTCCAATCGCAGAACCTATGAGCATCTTTTGTTCCAGGACTGACTCCATCGAACGAAATGAGGTGAAAGACTTCTCGGGTGGCATCTCAGCGAGCGGAATGTCCATCTTTGAGAGACTTGAAGAATACGAGCTTTGGTGGACGCCGAAACGGTATCGCTTCTCTTCAAGGGGATGTCAGCTCCCCTCCTGGACCCCCTTGTTGATGCAGAATCTTCAAGTACGCACAACACGGAGGTAAGAATCTCGAAGCTAGTGAGTACTGCAGAATCCGAGCCTGTTCTCCAGGCCAATAGGGCTATCTTGAGTTTCTATTTGGGGCGGGTTTACGGCCAGCTTTTGTCAATCTGTTAAGTCCTGGCTTACTCTCTCTAACACGGTTGCGGGCCACTCGGGTACGTGCATATGTCTCTCTTCCAACAGTCTCTTGAGGCTGTACGACGTTGACTACGTGCAAAAGGCCATGGAGTCCGGGAGCGTACAGATACAGTGCGGTGTAGCCACCACGGTGATGCTTGGCCAGTCCCTCCCGACACCTTGTCCGCCTCTTTTCACTTCACCGAGCCTCCTGTGTGAGCTGCCCCGTATTTCTAGAAAGTAGACATGGTATATATCAAAGATATGGACGCCTTGCTGAAGATGTAAGCCCCTCGTCAAATATTGCGTTTGAGTTCTGGTCAAGTTGATGCCACACATCACTCCCACATTTGCCAAGCCCATTCACGCAAGGAGCCTTCACAAGCTCAGCTGAGCTGCCATTGAGAGAGTGGTCATCTGTCTCACCTGACCTGAAAGCCTCTCATCCACGGACTCACAAGACACTATACTCACGGCTACACTCGCCCGAGACGAAGTACAAACCCGCCTTGCCGTCCATCACAGCCCTGCTGAACTGGGGTTCATCCATCGACCATGGAAACGGGGGAAGATGATCATCCGGAGCTGGACAAGAAAGAGGAGGCATGGGGATCAGTGGCGAGCAATGTTTCGGATCCGCAAAAATGCATCGAGGAGTGTCGAGCCCAGGTCCTGGCAAGGGTAGTACCTGGCTTTAATGGATCGAGGTACAATGAGGTTTGCAAGCATCTGCTAGCAGACGATGAGGACGCGAAGAACACTTTATGGGAGTTGTATTGCTGCGATGCGACTGAATGCGGGGTTCACTTAAGTGGAAAACCAGAGCTGGGACAGGATCGTGAGTAGAGAGACAGCTCTTGATATTCTGTTGTCGTATGGCTTCTGACTTCAGCTCAGCCAGCGTAAATCTGGTTATTAATGTATGTCAAGGGTAAGTCGGCCCCTCTCGAGTTTTGCCCTTCTTAACTGACTCTAGAGCTCAGTATCTTTGCACCAGTAATCAAAGACCCAGGACCTCCCCCGGATGACTCCATCTGTCCGATATCGTTGAACGGACCGTTTATCAATACGGACATGAGACCGTCGTACAAGACGGATTCAAGAAGTAGAGAACCGTTATTCACAGACTTCGGGATAATGGCCACGGTCCCGCCGGAAGTCATGCCATCGGCTGCATCATCGACTGCATCGTCGACCTCAAAAACGTCGGCACACTTAACAACATCAGCGACGGCATACCCGACATCCTTCATACCACTCGCGAATCAGTCTCAAACCCATCGAAAAGATGGGCTACCCACGGGAACCAAAGTCGCCATCGGCACGTCTTCCGCCATAGCATTCCTCGCCATCATAGCCTTCGTCATATGCCTGTTCCGCCGTCGCTCACGGAACGCCTACGACCACAGCCTAAAGAGCGAGATCGGGCATCCCAATCCCCAGCCAGACACATCGCCCACGCCCCTTTCGAGCCACTTGTACGCTATACGTGAAGGCATCCGGACTCCTCTGACACCTCCACCCCGTCTACAGCAACGACGACTGCTTTCCACCCACGTGAGCCTCGAGAGACCGAGCATCAACATCAATGTCTCCATCCCAGAAACTCCTCTCGGCGCCTCGGTCGAAAAGGCAGGCGTCTTCTCATCGTCTCCCCTCTCGACACCCACGCCCACAGCTACCAACAGAGTCCCTCCTAAATATGACCGCTCCACCAAGCCGTACTACGGCGTTTCTCCGCCGCCGAATACATTTAGTCAAGGCACTGGCGGTAGTCCCCTATCCTCCGGAAAGACGTCGAGCATAAGCAGCGCGGCGAGCGGTCGCACCGCCACCACCGTATCCAACGTCTCGAGCATTGCCCCGCGCCTCACGCCCTCTTCGTGGCCGATGCGGCCTCCGAGGCCTCACGAGAAACGGCTGCTGATACCGGATCTAGTGTGTCCTGGTCCTTCACCAGCCTGCTCGCTTCCTCCGGCACCTCCCGGGAGCCCCTCGAGTCCCGTGTCCTTTCACAAAAAATTGCTACTGCAGCAGCTGCAACAGCAGCAGAAACGGGGGGATGATTTCGATGGTGTCAGCGCTGCTGTCAGCAACGGATGGGTTCCTCCGCGAAATCCGGCGCGGGGCGTGGTGCTGGAGAAGGAGTCGAGGGATCTGTGCGAGTTAACAGAGACGTATGCGAGAGAGTCGCGAGAGAGGAGTAGCTGGGGAAGCTGGAGTATCGGAGGTGGAGGGACTGGTGTTGGG